CCCTCTATTCTCTCTCCTCCTCCGGTTCGTTCTCTCTCTCTCCTTCTTCTCTCTCTCCCCCTCTTTTCTCTCCCGCTGTTCCTTCTCACCCCCCCTCACATTGGAGAGATTAACTCTCATTTCCTGTTGTCTCTACAGAACAGGAAGTGGGAAATCTCCCCACTGGGAAACAAGCTTTCCTACACTATAACATCTCGTAGGAACAATTGACTTCTTTGCGGTGCGTTAGCAGGCATTATTCAGCTCGTCCACGTGCGTTGCATTAAGGACGGGCCATTTAAAATGGATGGGTGACCAACGCAGACAGGAAGTGAGGGGAACTCTGCGACAGAGACACGGACAGAGTGACCAACGCACCCTAATGTGCCGAAAAATGCACATGACCCTTTAAATCTAATACAATGCACCAGCATGCGTTGTGGCAGATCTCCTGGGACGCGAAACGCAGACGGAACAGTCTGCCGATGTCACCAGACAGGAAACACAATCAGGTCACACAATGCGGGAACCCACAGCGAGACCTGAAGAGTGACAACCACCTAATGTGACCTAATTTCCTGTCCGGGTGACAACAGTTTCACCAAACAGGAAGTGAGGGGGAACTCTCCAACAGAGACACAGACAGACATAAAAATCTGGCAGGGGTTCCAGCCCCCCCCCTCTAGGAGATCATTGCGCCAAAACATCCAGAAAAACGACCCAGCGCACCGCAAACCATGACGGATTTTTACCATGTTCTATGATGCAGGTGACATGCGTTTTGGGGCATGCGCACGGCAGCGAAGTGTGCACGCGGACCCATCCATCCCAAATTTATCCAAAACTAAAAAAAAACACATTTGGCTGGAAGCATTGCACCCTCCGGGGTCCCCGGGGCAATGATCGGAGCGCACAGCATTCAGCGTTGTCACAGAGATCCTCAGCTGGAGGGAACAGGAAGCAACACGAACACATGTGCATTGTAGTCAGAGGGCGTGTAGGGGGAGGAGCCAGCACAGGGGGGGAGGGGTCAGACAAGAGGGCTTGTCTGTGGCTTCCAATCCTCTGCTGGAGTCACAGATCAGCCGCTCAGAGAGTCAGACCGTCAGCGGAGGAGCAGCCCAGAGTCGTACCGACTCCATATTGTCCGCGCAGCCGCCGGTGAGTCCTCATTGTTGTTACATTGAATCGTTCTCTTCTCTGCTGACATGATCCGTCTGTCCGCCTTCCGCCCTCTCTGTAGCATCGGAGGGTGTCCGGGGACCCCCACAGGGGAAATCCCCCCCCCCGTAGTCACCAGAGTGTGGCTGCACCTCCCTGGAATGCTCTGTCCCCGGAATCCGGATGGGGGCGTGTCCTGAGACACTTTGTTCCCTCCTCCTGTGTATCAGTACCGCCTGGACCGAGAAGAGGAGGGGGGACCCTGAAAGCTTGTCCTGGGAAAGGGGGGCTGGGGTCCCGAAAGCTTGCCCTGGGAAAGGGTGGCTGGGGTCCCGAAAGCTTGCCCTGGGAAAGGGTGGCTGGGGTCCCGAAAGCTTGCCCTGGGAAAGGGTGGCTGGGGTCCCGAAAGCTTGCCCTGGGAAAGGGTGGCTGGGGTCCCGAAAGCTTGCCCTGGGAAAGGGTGGCTGGGGTCCCGAAAGCTTGCCCTGGGAAAGGGTGGCTGGGGTCCCGAAAGCTTGCCCTGGGAAAGGGTGGCTGGGGTCCCGAAAGCTTGCCCTGGGAAAGGGTGGCTGGGGTCCCGAAAGCTTGCCCTGGGAAAGGGTGGCTGGGGTCCCGAAAGCTTGCCCTGGGAAAGGGTGGCTGGGGTCCCGAAAGCTTGCCCTGGGAAAGGGTGGCTGGGGTCCCGAAAGCTTGCCCTGGGAAAGGGTGGCTGGGGTCCCGAAAGCTTGCCCTGGGAAAGGGTGGCTGGGGTCCCGAAAGCTTGCCCTGGGAAAGGGTGGCTGGGGTCCCGAAAGCTTGCCCTGGGAAAGGGTGGCTGGGGTCCCGAAAGCTTGCCCTGGGAAAGGGTGGCTGGGGTCCCGAAAGCTTGCCCTGGGAAAGGGTGGCTGGGGTCCCGAAAGCTTGCCCTGGGAAAGGGTGGCTGGGGTCCCGAAAGCTTGCCCTGGGAAAGGGTGGCTGGGGTCCCGAAAGCTTGCCCTGGGAAAGGGTGGCTGGGGTCCCGAAAGCTTGCCCTGGGAAAGGGTGGCTGGGGTCCCGAAAGCTTGCCCTGGGAAAGGGTGGCTGGGGTCCCGAAAGCTTGCCCTGGGAAAGGGTGGCTGGGGTCCCGAAAGCTTGCCCTGGGAAAGGGTGGCTGGGGTCCCGAAAGCTTGCCCTGGGAAAGGGTGGCTGGGGTCCCGAAAGCTTGCCCTGGGAAAGGGTGGCTGGGGTCCCGAAAGCTTGCCCTGGGAAAGGGTGGCTGGGGTCCCGAAAGCTTGCCCTGGGAAAGGGTGGCTGGGGTCCCGAAAGCTTGCCCTGGGAAAGGGTGGCTGGGGTCCCGAAAGCTTGCCCTGGGAAAGGGTGGCTGGGGTCCCGAAAGCTTGCCCTGGGAAAGGGTGGCTGGGGTCCCGAAAGCTTGCCCTGGGAAAGGGTGGCTGGGGTCCCGAAAGCTTGCCCTGGGAAAGGGTGGCTGGGGTCCCGAAAGCTTGTCCTGGAGAGGTGATGCCCCCTATAGATGGGGAGGTGACGGTCCCCGGTTGGCTGTGCGGGGTGCTGGCTGTGCGGTGACTCATCTGGCAGTGATTTAGTTATAGGTGGAGTCACGACTCCGCGGGGTTAATTGTTGTTGTGTTTGTGATGAAACATTTTCTGTCACATTGTCTCCCAATAATATTCCCGATCAGCTGATCCCGTCATCTCCCCGACCCGGAATATTTCTCTTCTCCTCTCTGCCTCCAGGTATCCAAAACTCTTTATTCCCTCCTCCCCTTTTCTGGATCCCCATGTGACCCCCCCCTCTGATATAAGAAGTGTACCGATTCCTCTCAATACTAAAAAATTTTAGTCTGTGTCCCCTTTGGAGGCATTTCCCATCACTTCCTGTCCAGACAGGAAGTAAGATCTCTCCAGTAGGTGGATGTGACACAGCGAGGGGCCTCTCATAGTCTTGGAGTCAGTGGGGGGCTCCTCGGCCCGGTATCTGCTCTGCGGGCGGCAGTGATTGGTCGGCGGCAGAGAATGACCAGCACGCTGGAAATTGTTTAATCTGCGATCACATGACGATGGCGGTAGCTGAACGCTCCACCCCGGATGCCGGGTGATGGATGTGCAGTATACAAACGCTCTCACTATCGGACGGGGTCACATGACCACAGCGCATATCTCAGAATCGTCTCTCGGTTTTATATCTTGCTGAGGATTGCGGCACATCGCCGACACCGGCAGGCGCGCGTCACGTGGCAGAGATCCCCCCCCCCCGTGTATGTAATATGGTAACAGTGTTGGGTCATGTGATCGGACACGTTGTATTGTGTGTGGTGTCAGATTGCCGGATTGCACAATTGGCGTTCTCGTCATCGGCTCCCCGGAGGCCCAGCGAGGGGTTAAACGTGCCGGCATGGGCGGGAATTGTTGAACCTACTTCCTGGTCATGTGACCCGCCCCCAGCGACTGTAAATAAAGCGACACGTGACCTGCAGATTGTTACACAATGGCGTCCAGAGCGCGTCTTCCCGACTTCCCCCACACAGACAGATCTTGTGTCAGGTTTCATCTGTCGGGTCGTCTGCGTTTACCGACGTCGCATGTTACAATCTTCCCAAAGCTCCCCACCCACCATGCAATCTGATTGTACAATCTCCTCACAGCTCCCCACCCACCATGCAATCTGCTTGTACAATCTCCTCACAGCTCCCCACCCACCATGCAATCTGATTGTACAATCTCCTCACAGCTCCCCACCCACCATGCACCCCCCCGGTGTACTCTCTGATCTGCGGCATTTATTGTCCTGGAAACCATCGTGTGACATGCGTTGTAATGCCCTTTTGCATTTCAATATTAATCAAGTGTCTGTGGGGTGCGCTGTGTGCGGAGGGGGGGTTGTGACCTGTGAACTGGATTCGCCGCATCCCGCCAGAGCCAATCTGATTGTATTTGCCAATTTCTGGCTAGAACAATAGCTCGGCGAATGAGAACGATCCGTATCTGCTGCACGATGGAACATTCCAGTCTGAACTCTCCGTGAATGGAAAATTCCAGCGACTGTCGGAGCCTCCGGATGGTTCTGGAAAGATGTCGGTTTGCCTTTAATCTGCTGCTAAGATTCTACGGAGAGTCTCATTCTGGGCGGAGAGGCGGCTGTGAACTCCCATTGCTGGCGGTGAAATGAACCCGCTCACCTTCCACATTCCTAGGCCACGCCCCCTGCTGGCTGCTCTGAGAACTGCGACGCTGCAACCACCTTACTTTTGTTGTTGTTGCCTGTCACATGGTGTTGGCAGCTCATTCCTTTCATTTGGCTTCCTAAACAACCCTAAAAATATAAGTGGGCCCCTTCGTGTCTCACATGTGTAATATGTCATTAGATGTGTGCAGTACATGGTGTGTTCCTTTAAATACAGCTCTATAGATGTTTGACTAACTGAGCTTATCTCAGCAGTGACCTGATAAGAAGTATGCACGGGCTGTTTTTTTGGTCCTGGGGGGGAGGGGGAGAAAGGTCGGAGGGTTCACCCCATATACATTCTTACACTCGCTGTGCGTCCTGAAGAGAACTGCGGAGCGCCTTCTGTAAATGATAGTTTAATCCTCCGGCTTCAGCACTCTGTGACTTTCTGACCCAGGACAAGCGTGCCGAGCAGAAGTCATCCGGATCCGCGTGCTTCTTCCTGGATAGCCGCCCAAAAAGTAAAATTAAGGCAAAAAGCAAAGCCAATTTTTTTTGTACAAGTTCCGATACTTCCCCTCCGAGAACTCACCGATACCGATACTACAGAAAAAAGGTGTCATGTGACAGTTTTTCTAAAACAATACAAACGAATTATTTTAGGACAGTGGCGGAGCGCGGGGGGCCTGGACGCAGCTGCGATTTGCCGAGACCCTGGCAGTCCTGCCACTGACTCCATGCTGCAGAGGGACTACAGATCCAAGCAATACATTACACAGCAATGCAGAATAATACCGTCAGCTATAGAGGACTACAACTCCCAGCAATACATTATACAGCAATGCAGAATAATAATACCAGCTATAGAGGACTACAGATCTCGGCAATACATTACACAGCAATGCAGAATAATACCGCCAGCTAGAGATGTACCGATATCAATGCTAGTATCGGTATCAGTGCCTACGCCAAGTATTTGGGCGAGTACTCTGATACCTTCCCCGATACCAGATCTTCAGGTCAGAGGGAGAGTTCCTCTGACCAGCAGTGCCACGAGGGTACATGGAGCTGGCTTCCCGAATGGCCAAGAAGCCAGGTTAATGCTGATTCACTGGGAAGCCGGCTTCCTGGCCAATCAGGAAGCCGGGCGGCAGGTAATAACCCACCTCCCAGCTTCCTGCTTGGCTGGGAAGCCGGCTCCATGCTGACTTGGGTGGGAAGCCGGCTCCCCAGCCAATGGACATCGAGCCGGCCAAACAGCTGACTTGATACTGATTGGCTGGGAAGCCGGCTTCCCACCCAAATCGCCATGGAGCCGGCTTCCAAGGCAATCAAGAAGCCGGGCAGGGTGTTCTTACCTGCCGCCCGGCTTCCTGATTGCCCGGGAAGCTGGGTCCAAGCTAGCGGAAGCATCGGTATCGGCGTGGACCGAAATGTAAATCTCGATACCAGAAAAACAGTATCGGTGCATCCCCACCACCAGCTATAGAGGACTACAAATCCCAGCAATACATTATACAGCAATGCAGAATAACACCGCCAGCTATAGAGGACTACAACTCCCAGCAATGCAGGATAATACCGCCAGCTATAGAGGACTACAACTCCCAGCAATACATTATACAGCAATGCAGGATAATACCGCCAGCTATAGAGGACTACAACTCCCAGCAATACATTCTACAGCAATGCAGGATAATACCGCCAGCTATAGAGGACTACAACTCCCAGCAATACATTATACAGCAATGCAGGATAATACCGCCAGCTATAGAGGACTACAACTCCCAGCAATACATTATACAGCAATGCAGGAAAATACCGCCAGCTATAGAGGATTACAGATCCCAGCAATACATTATACAGCAATGCAGGATAATACCGCCAGCTATAGAGGATTACAGATCCCAGCAATACATTATACAGCAATGCAGGATAATACCGCCAGCTATAGAGGATTACAGATCCCAGCAATACATTATACAGCAATGCAGGATAATACCGCCAGCTATAGAGGATTACAGATCCCAGCAATACATTATACAGCAATGCAGGATAATACCGCCAGCTATAGAGGATTACAGATCCCAGCAATACATTATACAGCAATGCAGGATAATACCGCCAGCTATAGAGGATTACAGATCCCAGCAATACATTATACAGCAATGCAGGATAATACCGCCAGCTATAGAGGACTACAAATCCCAGCAATACATTACACAGCAATGCAGAATAATACCGCCAGCCATAGAGGACTACAAATCCCAACAATACATTTAATAATAATATGTTGCTACATACTCTGATGTCTCAGGCGTAGGGTCTGAGGAGGGGTCTGGATTGTCTCAGGAGGGTCAGCTGTGAGGGCGGCAGAAGCAGTGTAAACCGGTGCCGTGAGGTCCTCGGCAAGCGCGGGACCTCAGGCAGCCACTTCAGTTTTAACATTTTTAAGCACCGGTATCGGTTATTAGTATCGGGGCATATTCACCAGTACCCGTGAAAATGCCCTGTATCAGCTCTGATATTGGTATCTGTGAAAATACTGCATTAGGGCCACTGGGTGGAGCTGAGGATCCTAGGAAATAAATGCCTCTTAGTAACATGAGCTATACAAATGTAACCATCACAGAGAGGGAGTCGGCAGATAAATCCCCAAAGTAAGTAGCAGCAATGGTCACATGATCCGCGGATTCCCTCCGGTTGTTGCATTGTATCTTCTTACTGAGATGTATTTATTTCCTCGGATCCTCGGCGCCATCTGGTGGCCATAGGGAGGTATTGTCTCCTATCATTACTGTCCATAATATTTGAAGACCAGAAGACAATAAAGTCTTCAGAACATTCGATATGCTCCCCTCTTATTATTATTATTATTATTATTATACAGGATTTATATAATGCCAACAGTTTGCGCAGCGCTTTACAATATAAGGAAGACGTTACAATCACAATACAATTCAAGTCAAGATGGTAAGGAGCAGGGGCATTACTAGAAATCACAGGGCCCCATAGCAAAATTTTGTATGGGGCCCTGTGATTTCTAGTTACACCCCTTGAAGAGCCCACATAGTTCACCTGAGGGTGACCCTGCAGAGCCACCATAGACTATGGTGGGTTCTGCAGGGTCACCCTCAGGTGGGCTGACCACACTCCTTACCTGTCTACCTCTTCTTCCTCCGTCTTTCCTCCTCCGTCGCCGGGCCCGCCCCCTCCTCCGTCACGTCTGATGCTGACCCCCGGCCCCGCCTCCCCGCACGTCCAGCCTCCTCCACCGCCGCTGCTGACTCTCATTGACTCGGCAGCGGCTATGGAGAAGAACGCAGCGCTGCACAGATCACGGTGATCTGAACAGCGGCGCGTTCGAACCCATAGCGACCCAGGCGTCCTGCACAGCATCAGGGGGGTGTCCTGTGCCCGGGCCCCATAGCGGCCGCCTGGGTCGCTATGGCTATTGTTACGCCACTGGTAAGGAGGGCCCTGCCCCTGAGGGCTTACAATCTAAAAGGGAGGGGCCAGTGAGCCCTTTTCACACAGAATAGTCGAATGTTCATGCAGTTTAGTTATGTACATTCTATACATCGGACCCCCTTGGTGTACACGCAGTGTAGTCGCCGTTTTTTTTGATGTTTTTGTGATTTTTCTGATGATCCTGTAGCCGATAACGGTCTAATATGTTTTTTTTTTTCTCCTCCTCCAGGCAATTGAATTCTTCGTTGATCTAAAGACCAGAAACTTCTCTCCATCTGGCGTCGGGTAGAATGTCCAGGACCTTCTCCGGGTGGATCCTGAGGACAGCGAAGCATCAGGTCAACCTGCTCCATGCAGAGAAACGTTCTTATTCGCAATGTCTGATGAGAAGAGCCCACGCAAGATGGCGGCGAGCGCGCTCTGCTAGTGCCGCCACGCCCGCCACGTGTCTGTGCTACCCGCTGGTCTACTCCTCGCACCGCTCCTACCGGCACACGGCCGAGGATGTCCACTTCCAGTTGTTACCGGAGCAGATTAACGACATCCTGCGAGCCAATGAGCAGTCCTGCAAGGTGGCGGACGGCGACGCCAAAAGCCGCAGCACCGTCCTAAAGTTCGAAAGCAACATCCTGGCCTCCAACACGCCGTGCGAGGACCGCCGGAGTGCCGCCGCCTGCCTGCAGACCAAGGGGCACATGTTCGGCATCTTCGATGGCCACGCCGGGGCCGCGTGCGCTCAGTCGGTCAGCGAACGCCTCTTCTACTACATCGCCGTCTCCCTGATGCCCCAGGCGACCTTGGAGGAGATCGAGCTCGCCCGGGAATGCATGAAGCCCGTCCTGCCCATCCTCCAGTGGCACAAGCACAAGAACGATTACATGTACCGGGAGATCGCCTCGTTTTACGTTGACCACCTGCGGGTGTTCTGGCAAGAGCTCATCGACCTGGACAATGAATCCGGAATGAGTGTGGCGGACGCCATGACCTACGCCTTTAACAGGCTGGACTCTGACATCTCGCTGGAGGCCCAGGCCCCCACCGAAAAGAAGTTCATCCGGAACCTCACCTTGCAAATCGCCTTTTCCGGGGCCACGGCCTGCGTCTCGCACGTAGACGGCGTCCACTTGCACGTGGCCAATTCCGGAGACTGCCGGGCGGTGTTGGGTGTCCAAGACCAAAGTGGCGCGTGGTCCGGTGTCCCGCTCACGGCTGACCACAATGCTTTTAACCCGTCGGAGCTGCGGCGGACCTTCCGGGCCTTCGGGGACGTTCGCTTCAAATGGAGCGAGGAGCTGCAGAAAAGCGTCCTGCAGAACGCATGCGATGCGGAACCTTTAAACATCTATCAGTATTACCCGGCAAACTACCACACCCCTCCGTACCTCACGGCGGCCCCGGAGGTCACCTACCACAAACTGAGGCCGCAGGACAAGTTCCTGGTCATGGCCTCCGATGGACTGTGGGACATGCTGGACAACCAGGAGGTGGTGCGCCTGGTGGCGGGGCACCTTTCCGAGATCCGCAATAAGGAGCTCTCCGTGGTGAAGCGCAGCCTGGGCACCATGCACAACATTCTTCTTCAGAGGCGGAGCGGCAGGGTCAACGCGCAAGAGCAGAACGTGGCCACACACCTCATCCGCCACGCCGTCGGCACCAATGAGGACGGCGAGGTGGAACAGGAGAGACTGGCGGCCATGCTGAGCCTGCCCGAGGATCTGTGCCGGATGTACAGGGACGATATCACCGTGACCGTTATCTACTTCAACTCCAGCGCCATTGAAGCACATTACCGGGAGAGCGAGCAGCGGTAGAGACGCCACATCGGTGGCCCCGCCTCCCGCCTTGTGAAGACTTCCAAATGATTTTATTTTCTGTACAGTAATGATGATATTTGACCACTAGGTGGAGCTGTTTGCATTTTTTTAAATAGATGTTTTATTCTAATACACAAAGTTGTGTTCAGTTTTCTATCGGCAGTGTGAGCAGCGCGAGTGTTCCCTGGCTGCAACCGATAATGAGGAGCTCCCACCATCCCTGTGCTGAGTTCCCGGGTCTGTACACTCGCTGTGCCCATAATGAGGAGCTCCCACCATCCCTGTGCTGAGTTCCTGGGTCTGTACACCTGCTGTGCCCATTATGAGGAGCTCCCGCCATCCCTGTGCTGAGTTCCCGGTTCTGTACACCCGCTGTGCCCATTATGAGGGGCCCCCACCATCCCTGTGCTGAGTTCCCGGGTCTGTACACTCGCTGTGCCCATAATGAGGAGCTCCCACCATCCCTGTGCTGAGTTCCCGGGTCTGTACACCCGCTGTGCCCATTATGAGGGGCCCCCACCAGCCTGTGCTGAGTTACTATTTTATAGATTTGAGAATGTAACAGGAGGAATGGCAACACCCAAAAATCCAAAGGAAGTGTGACCAGATGATCTCAGCAGCAGCATTCCCAACCAATAAATCCATCAACTAGACATTGACCCATAACTGAAACGCTTGGGTGGACTGGCAGGGATGGCGGCGGTGATGGTGGGGGGATGGTGGTGGTGGTGGAGGGGATGGGGGTAGGGATGGGGGTGGTGGGGATGGTGGTGGCAGGG